TGCAAACGGCCTGAATCGGGCCAGGCCGTTTGCAAACGGACTGAGTTTTCATACGGCCTGTAACAGATACATGACTGGCTGCCCGTGCGATGCTCGAGAAGTTGTGAAGGCGCCGGTCGTACGGCCGATGTAAAGCCTGAATATTGCATCTACACGTGGCTTCAGGTAGAAGAACGAAGGAAATACGTCTCACGTTTATTTTAAAGCCTACCTAGTCAGTGAAAGAAAAGGGGTTAAACAGGCGATGCGAGGAGGTGTACTCATAACATTCACCTCAGAGGAAGCGTTATCGGATGCAAGTCTTATTATAATCGTCCTTTTAAAGGGCGACTCTTACTATGGCTATAGGGAGAACACCAAACAGCTGGCAGCCGCTAGCCTAGCTGTCAGCTAGGGTTGTGTGTTGAAGATGGACCACCTGTGTGTGTCACTAACACAGCCCCGTGTCACAGTGTCATGACACAGCGCAACTCTGCTCACCGCCCGTGACACATCTGTGGTTAGCGGGGCCACCTGTTGTCTGAATAGGTGGGTTGGAGTGTATCACTAATAGAAGAATAAAAAAGTGCTGAGGTAGCTATTCAACAACGGTATAGCTGTGCTCGTGCGCCGAACAGAAACAAGTGTCATTAGGTGGCTTTCATTTGTTCTTTCATACCGCTTTTTACGCGAGATTTCGAATGACTAAAACACCATGATCATTTAGCTGCATATCAGCAACAGGTACGTACTTACGTACATACATGTGACTGCGTTGCATCTAAAGGCATTTAAAGGCATGCAGTTGCAATTGCAATTGCATGCTTCGAAGTCAAAAATAAATTTTCGCCCAATAATAGGTATACAAAAGGGAAATTATGAAGCGCCTGGCCTTGATGCTTAACCCTCGCCCATGTAGGGGGGGGGTTGGTGCAACCCCCCCCCCCTGAGGTTTTTCGGAAATAGTGCAAAAACGGCGGCGCGCAGCGCCGCCAAATTTTGGGTACCTTATGGGGCAAACCTTGCGCATCTTTTGATAAAAAAATCTTGACCGGGTCATGTCAGGTCACGAAGTTATGACGTCACAAAGGGAACAGCCTCCGGCCGGATTTTCACAAACTGAGTGCCAACGCCCGAGGTTTCCTGCCGGTGGTACGGAGATCGGTTGATGGATCGTGATGAAACTTCCCATGCATGTTGGGGCAAGTATTGGCTATCATATGGTATAAGAAACTTGACCGGGTCAGGTCAGGTCACGGAGCTATGACGTCACAAGAGGAACAGCGTTCGGTACTATTTTTGAAAAGCGCCCGAACCACTATTTTGCTAATTCTTGTCACCTCAATGGGAATATGCAGCAATATTAGCTTCTATAGGGAGCAAATGGACCTCCCAAATCCAAAAATACAATCAGATTTCAAAAATTTAAATTTTGATTTTTCGAATTTCTGCCGCCGACTGTGACCTTGCCGACTTCCGGCGCTCCCAACGCGCCATTTTTAGAGCTAGGGAAACGAAATACATACCAAACGATAGAGAATTGATCAAGGAACACGATAGTGAAGGTTTCAAGTCGATATCTCTCACCGTTTTGCCGCAATCGCCGCCGAAAGTTGAAAAAAGTCTATTTTTCCTAAAATTTGACCTTTGACCGGTCAAAAGTAGGTCAAATGTTGACCTAGGACCAAAAAAATACCACCAATCGCGAGATCTCGGCGAGAGCAATCCGTTGGTCTTTTCCGCTAAGCTCTACGACGCTCCGTTTTCAAACGCCAAGGGGGGGGTCGCACCAACCCCCCCCTGCATGGGCGAAGGTGGCAGATCGCCGTTTACGGGCGAGGGTTAATATCATCAGCCTCAATAGGTTTTCACAAGAATCTATTTCAGCAGCAGCAGGCTGCTCATAAAATCCAGTGTTTAGGCTAAACGCTTAAAACTGTGTGTTTTGTTTTGATGAATACTTTGTGAACGAGGACCAGCGGCGTATTTAGAAAATCGCGAAGGGGGGGGCCAAGGGTTTGGAGGGCGCCACCTCACCCAAGGAGGGCGCCATACGGTCGCGAGATAAAAAATCGCTCAGTGGGGGTTGGGGGGTTGGGAGGCGTTTTTTACCATGCCACCAGTTTTTTTTTTTGCGTAACCTCGTATAGGTCGTGCTGCATTGATTTTGCATCGTGTGTATTCTTTATACTCCAGGTCACAAAAGGTCAAGTGTTCTTGAAATGCTGCGCCGAAGGCGCGCGAAATTTTTGAAAACAACCTTTTCCTCCGCTTTTTAGGCACGCCTTTTATACGATCACTGTTCAAAGCTCCTCTCGCTCTTTTACCAAATTTGAAGGTGTAAAAAATACCTAAGGTTTGGTCGGGCCGCTGCCACACAAACTGTACAGAAAGCTTGGCTCATGGGTGTCGATGTATAAAAGTTTATTGGCGGTGGCATATCTACGCACCAGATCACTGTATCGGATTGATACCGGAGCGCGAGATGCGTAAACATCATCCAAATTACCTCAGACCAGCCTTCATAGCCTTCTCACAGATGCATACAGTGTACCCACATAACCAGTTTCAATCACCGAAACTTAAGATGCCTGCTGTTGCGCCCGAACCTGTTGACAATACTTAATCGTAATCCATATAGATGCCATGATGCACGTAAAGTAGGATCAATCCGTTAAGACCAAAGACGTGTTTTATGCATCGTAGAGCGTAGATAGTTTTGGTAGGTATAGATACTTCATTCATTGTGCTGAATGCACGTTCATTTGTGGCAGTTTTCACAGGCAAGACATCAACTATGTGCAATAGAACGACTAAGTTGAAAAACATGCCAAAGGAGTAAATAAATGATAGGAGGGCAGCGATCAACGGATGTTGCCAATAGGTAGAAGGGCTGCGATCCACAGGAGGGCACTAATAGGTAGAAGAGCCCCGATCAACATCCCGAGTTTCGACAGTAGGGCACCGATAGGTAGGAAGTTGGCGAGCAGCAGGAGGGCGCCAATGGATAGAAGGGCAGCGATCAACAGGAGGGCACCAATAGGTAGGAGGGCGCCGATCAACAATCAACAGGAGGGCGCCACCAGGTAAGAGGGTGGCGAGGAACAGGAGAGCACCAATAGGAGGGTGGCGATCAACAAGAGGTCGCCAATAGGTGGGAGGGCGGTCATCAACTGGAAGTCGCCAATGAGCGGAAGGGTGACGATTAAAATGGGGGTGGCAATGGTGAGGAGGGCGCCTTTGCTCAAGAGGATGACACGAACAGGAGGGCGTCTGTGCGGAGGGCGCTGGTCAACAGGAAGGTGCCAGTGGATAGGAGGGCGGTGATCAACAGGAGGGTGCCAGTGGTTAGGAGGGCGGCGATCTACACGAGGGCGCCAATGGGAGAAGGGCCCCGATTAACATTCAACAGGAAGGACTAGGGAACCAATAGGTAGGAGGGCGGCACTGAACAAGAGGGTGCCAAAAGGGAGAAAGGCGGCCTTCAAAATTTCACATGAGGGCTCAATAGGTAGGAGAGCGCCAATAATTATGAGGACGCCGATCAGCAGAAGGGCGGCAATGTGTAGCAGGGTGGCGACCTACAGGAGGGCGCCTTCGGGTGAGAGGGCGCTTATTTACAGGACAGCGGATTACATAGGCGACCACCGTTACGCTTAGAGAGCTACAGCCTACAAATGTGGTTGGAGGGCGCCCGAGGGAGCCCTCCAACCGTATTTGGAGGGCGTATTTGGAATGGGCGTCCTCCGAGGGCGCCCTCCATCCGTATTTTCCCTGTAAACACATTCGCGATTGGAGGGCGCCCTCCAGTCGCGATTGTTTTTCGATTCGATTATATCACAATTGCATTTGCGATTGGAGGGCGCCTTCGGCGCCCTCCAATCGCAAAGGGCGCCTTCGGCGCCCAAGGGGGGGGCCATGGCCCAGTGGCCCCCCCCCTGCCTACGCCCCTGACGAGGACCACAAATAAACGCAGGCGTGTTTTGCCAGGCTGGTGGGTGTAAATATTAGGCAGTCTCTGCCGGCGCTTTAAGATCAACATACTGCACGCAGCAAAACTCTGGGTGGGCTAAAAGCACCAGACGAAACCTTGCTTTGCTTAATTAACAATTGCGTGCAAATGAGTGAAAACAACTGCATCAACATTCGCTACTTAGCATGGCTATTTTGTTAATTCTAGCGAACGATCGTGGTACGAAACTGGTTTGTGCACCATGGAGGCATTAGCTGACGAGGAAATTTCAAAAAACGGCATTGGCCCCTATCGTCATCTGTGGTTGATCTGCGAGGACAACAAAATCAATAGGTACTAAAATACGTGACAAAAGTTCCAACAGTGCAAAACCAGTTTCAGCCATCAAGGTAAAAACTGCATATCGATTTCGCCAATAAATCATCGGCAATATTATCATGTATTGCCAATGCTTATCGTTTATTTGGGTTGCTTCAACCCAAAAACTTTTAACTATGTATTATCATTAGCCTTTGGGTAATTTCTAATAAGTCAGCCTTTCAAGCAGAACCTTTGCATTCCATCATACATTAAGTTCCGTTTTGGTCGCGGATATTCACCGGCCATGCTCATCTCGGAAAACTGCGCAGCATTATGGAGTGATGAAGTCGGCCGATAAAAATCATCAGCGCTATTTATGACCCATGTGTCGAGATTAATCTTGCAGGAATTGTACACTGTGTACTAACAAAGGTCTAGCTTTCGCAGCGTAGGCATATTACTGACTCGGAGGTTTTTCTTGATGGATGTTTTACATACACATTTTGTCAATTATTCATCAAAAGTTTGCTATGTAACAAAAAATGTACAGCGCATCAGCACCTTTGAACCAATAAACTTGCTATCACCTTCAAAGGACGCAGAGCTAAATGGGCTACAGAAATAGCATCCGATCACAACCGCTCCCGATTGACTGGGTGCTTTGAAGTTATCAGAACGGCCAAGAAAAGGAAATAAATACAAAGATGAGCGCAGTCAATAAATGGTTCTAAGACTAACTTGAGCTCACCGTTGCCAGTCCGTCAGGCTAACGTTGGTTAAAAGACCACCGTCCCTTCCTGACGCTGAAATTCAGGTCAAGGTCAGGCCCGTTTTCGGTGGAGGTCACCGCCGGCCGTCTGGTCTGGTGCTCCGTTCTGAGTTGCCACTGCAGGTCGAGAGATGACTTGGTCAGAAGACACTGCTGGGCCAACCCACACGTCGCGCGTCACTTTTGGTGGATCACGACCGTTGTCACTGCGCGGCCGCTGAGTGGTGACTGCGCTGCCACCCTGCTGTCACTGACCGGTCACAGAGTGGTCACTGCTCGGTCACTGCTCGGTCACTGGCCATCCAGCGCCCCTCCGGCCTGTCACCGCGCCCAGACCACCGGGACCGCTCGGCCCGCCCGCGGCACCTGCCCGTCCTCCTCCGGCGGCCAAGAGCAGAGACTGCAGCGCGGCGACTCTGACCGGTCGGCCGGCCGCGTCTCCTGCCGGCGCGGCCCGCTCGGCCCGCCCGCCGCCCGGTCCGCTGCCCGGCTGGCTGGCCGGAGTCAGATCGATGCTGCTCGGTGGCTGGGAGGAGGGCCCCGTCTCGGCCGCGCGCGGACGCTGTGCCGCCCGCCGAGGCCCCAGAGGCCGCCGCGTGGTGTGACCGATTATATGGCCACTTTGGGGGGTCTCGTTAGATTACGTGGTGCGCTATGACGGATCCGCTAGGTCACGGCAGCTATTTTAGGCCAGGGATGACTGCGGTGGGCCGCAGAAAACGTCGTTGGGTTACATCTCACTTCAAACATGTTTCTAGCACCAGGTAGAAAAAAGAAAAGGTACTGCGTTAAACAGTCCTTGCCACAATCAAAGCAGAAATGTCATTCATGTCTGATGCCTTTAGTCAACAATTCAATTTACGAGAGCCAATATACTGTAAAACGACCTCTTGGTAGAGCGTTCGGGTCTTGCATCGTAAAATATCGCAATCAAAATGATGCAATATCACAAATGATCTGAATCGGGGACTCATAAATCAGGCCTATTTCAATCGTCACAGTCCCTAGATAAAAGCGCAGCGGGTGTGTAAACTAAGGTAAAATATACTGAGCGGGTCGAAAGGTAGCCCCTTTCAGAAGCAGTTAGATTAAAACTGAACATACACGTAGCTCGTCTGTATTGGCGCACATATTCGCAATGACGTTATATTACCATCGCTGCTGATTTATCTCATTGTGATCAGCACCTAAAGTGAAAACAAACTACGTTTACCTCTAAATGGCTGGACTCTTGATTATATGAAAAGTATACATTCTGCTAAAGACAAAGGGCCTGCAGTGCTAAGAAACTGGAAACAAAAACTTGGACTAGCAGCCCCGGTCAGTGCATGGGAAGGTGGGGGGAAACAAACACGCCCACTTTCCATTATTGCAGCAGAGAAGAAGAGCGTAGAATACCCCACAGCCTACCGACTGCCCTTAGCTATGGCTGGGGAACGGGGGAGGGGCACAATATACCTACCCACAGCCAGTCCACTGACCGTCCCCTGACCGCAGCGGGGGATGGGAGTGATTAGAATATACGAGTACTCGCACTCACAGTTCCCACTGACGGTCCCCTGCAGCGGCGGGGATGGGAGGAGGGTGGTCAGAATATACTCGTACCCACAGCTCCCACTGACGGTCCCCTGCGGCGGCGGGGCGGTGCCGCGGCCGATCCGGGCTCGGCAGGGAGTAAGAGCGGCTCAGAGCGCGTGCATTATTGACTGAGTGATGGGCCGCTCTGCTCTCTGGCGCCGCTCCCCCGTGATGGATCACCTCTGTCCGTGTCGGACCCGGGAAAACACGGTCCGCGTCCACCGCCCGGGAAAACACGGTCCGCGTCCACCGCCCGGGAAAACACGGTCCGCGTCCACCGCCCGGGAAAACACGGTCCGCGTCCACCGCACGGGCGTCCATATCGAGACGTCCATATCACCGCAGGGGCGTCCACATTGAGACGTCCCGATATCACGGCAGGGACGTTCATATCGAGACGTCCATATCACCGCAGGGACGTCCATATCGAGACGTCCATATCACCGCCCGGGCGTCCATATCGAGACGTCCATATCACCGCACGGGCGTCGGGCGTCCATATCGAGACGCCCATATCACCACCCGGGCGTCCATATCGAGACGCCCATATCACAGCAGGGACGTTCATAGCTTCGCCAGAACGTCCATATCAGTTCATACAGCAGGGACGTCTATATCACAGCCAAAATCACGGCAAACGGTAGCGGTAGACACTGCTTAACACGCGCACCGACGGAGGGAGGCGGATATCCGCCCCCTGAGGTTTTTCGCGAATAGCGGGAAAACCGCGGCGCGTAGCGCCGCGAAATTTGGTACGACTATTCTCTCATCAATTTTACACATGGTGTGCGAGTTTGAACCTCCTAACTTTAAAGGTCAGGTCACCAGGTCACTTTGAATGACCCAACCTCAAGTTACTTTTTTGCAACTTTGACACCGTGCCAGAGCTACAGTAGATGTCGGAGGCCTTTGAAAGTCGCAGGATGTTATAAGGTCAATAGTAGCTACAATTTGTATATCTCGGAATTTCGATATCGATGATCTAAGGTCAGGTCAATTTTTCGACCTCCCCATTAAAGGTATTATCAGGGTTTTTTCCGAAATTTCGGAGTTACTCAGTGAAACGTGTAGAAGAAGGTGGCTGAGGCCCCAATCCGAAGTCATTCGTCTCAAAATTGCCTAATTTCCAAATGGTGGGCCTCCAAAGTTGATCCGTCTGCCAGCCAGTACCTGGAGGAGGCAGTACCAAGTACTCGGATACATTTCCCTATAAGTCCATAGGCTTAACACTAGCTAGAGACTTCTAGAGATATTTTTTATGCCAGATAAGGCCGTCGCATACCAGATAAGGCCGCAACGGCCGTTCAACGTTACGTGGGGAAATGGGAGAAATATAAAGACTTTTTTTCTCTGACGTCTCCACTCCAATATCTCTAGCGCAACTGGCAAGCGTTGTTAGCATTGGCTCGTGTCGTCGTAAATAAGATTTGTTTGACGGATATTCCGTAAGTTGAGTGTGTTGTTGTAATTTCTGAGGCTGTATGAGTTGGACGGAATGGCGCCATCCCGCCATGTGCGAAATCTGTGCGAAACAAAGCTGTTCCTATTCATATTTGAATGTTCAAGACTTGTGGGCTTTGTAGCCAGTGCGTGTAGCTTCTAGATATCCTGTGGGTTATCAAAAATCAAAATAATTAAAAAATTATGTTGTGTGCTTTCAAACTAAGCTCATCCCGAGTGTAATTCAAGAATGTCTTAGTTCAAGCAATTAAACTTGAAAGTGATATAGCTCCAGCAATGAAGAAGCTTGGATGGAACGTTGAACCAAAGTTACCTATCATTTGTAATGTTAATGCTAAGTGCTGAACGTTACCAATAATTCGAGACATCCGTTGTAAGATGTATGACGCAGATCAACTTTGATCAAGTGAAGAAAATAGATTTCAGATGAAATAATGTCAATGTTCAAGGCTGAGCGACTGGCAGATTTCGGAGTGAGCACGAGTGGCCTTGAGACATTCTGTTTCTGTAGGTACTCAAAATAAATAAATTATCATGTTGTGTGCTTTGAGGCTAAGTGTTATCAGTGGTGCTTCATGGTTGTGCTTTGTTGTTGGTGTATGGGCATATTTTGAGCACATTGCAGCATGATCTTGGTGGTGTGTAAAGCAACTGATCTCCGCAGACTTTGCACTTACTTGCAAAGCCTGCGGACTGACTTTGCAGACTGGCTGACAATGAGCAATGCATTGCTGACTGATATTTATTCTGTGTTTGTAGCACAAAGTACAGAAGTGGCACATACATTGTTACTTTGAAAATCTGATGTGAATTTGATGTAGAAAATTGGTGACTGACGTTGAGTCCTTACGTATTGTGAGTAATGTACAGCTGGTGCATTGAGCACAGACTTGAGACCAGTGACGTTTGTATCAGTAGACTGTGTTTGAGTCTACTTATATGGTTCGTTCATGGTTGCAAAAAAACAAGTGTGACGCCTGCTATACTACTACCCTTATATGGCCTTGGTTTGAGTGTGGTGACCGAGTAAGCTGGTGTGTATAGCCATGCAATAAGTGTCTTGAAATATATTTTTGGGACAGTATTGAAATGGTGTGTTTTGGCCATCTGGCATGGATGATGGAAAGCCACTAACTCAACTTCAGGAACGCTTCTTCATTATGCTCATCTAAGGCACATCTAAGGCACATCTCAGCAGTGCATGTTTTCAGATTTCAACAGACTGTAATTGTTTCTGTATGTACATATGCATCATGCAAGGGTACAACAGATGCGGTATTTGGTAAGCAGTTGGCAGCAAGGTGGTGTTTGTACTTATTGGCAGAACCAGTTGAGCAGGACTAAAACTATCCTAGTTTCTCTCCAATTTACTCAGATCCGTCTCAACACATTGAACATATTGAAAGCGTCCATCCATGAAGATGTCTGCATGTATACTCATTTCCGAGAAGGCACGCTCGTCGCTCATCCATTGCCGAGCAGGCACGTGCGTGCCCATCGCCGGCGCGCATTAGCGCGCGTCCATGGCTGGGGCGCACGCGCGCGGCCATGGCCGGCATGCACGCGCGCGCGCCCATCGTCGGCACGCAAGCGCGCGCGCGTCCATAGCCGGCGCGCGCGCCGCGTCCTTACCCGGCGAGAACGCCGCGTCCGTACCCGGCGCGCACCCGCGCGCGTCCACAGCCGGCACTGACACACCCTGACCGACGGGCGTGCTGCCGTCGGCGGTCCTGACAGATGGGCGGCGGGCCCGGCTCCCGCAGCTCCGGCAGCGGGCGGCAGCCATGGTCGGCATACACGCGCGCGCGCCCATCGTCGGTACGCAAGCGCGCGCGCGCGCCCATCGTCGGCACGCAAGCGCGCGCGCGTCCATAGCCGGCGCGCACCCGTACCTGGCGCGCACCCGCGCGCGTCCGTACCCGGCCCGCACCCGCGCGCGTCCACTGCCGGCACTGACAGACCCTGACAGACGGGCGTGCTGCCGTCGGCGGTCCTGACAGATGGGCGGCGGGCCCGGCTCCCGCAGCTCCGGCAGCGGGCGGCAGCTCCGGTGACTGTTCCGGCAGCTCCGGCAGCGAGCGGCGTCTCCGGCAGCGCTCAGCAGCGGCGCCAAGCAGCAACAGCGGCTGAGCCAACAGGCGGCCGCGGAGGCACGCCCCCCCCCCCCCGGCCCCCCCTTTGCACATTGTTCGTCCATGGAGATCTGCAAGCACGACCATTGTTGAGAAGGCACGTGCATCCATGGCTGAGCACTGAGCAGGCACGTGCGACCCCTTTGCACATTGTTCATCCATACATATCAATATAATTTACCTTATTGATTAGTGTGAGTCTTGCAAAATCTTAAACTCAGAAATACTCCACAAAGCAGGCTGCCTGGGTGAGTTGCTAATATGAACATGATGAACATTATACATTAGTGCAGTACCTATAAGTATCCATGCTGTGTGAAGGACTTGGCCCTCACGTTCA